AAAGAGGGTGAAAATCTGGGTGGATCTTATACACTGAATACAGCATTTTTGGCCTCCTGAAACCCCACCCCCTTTGCAAAAATGGCTGTGCATAGCCTTTAGGAGGCTTATAGAGTGCTCCTGGGGGCTGGGGGGGAAAACGAGCAAAAAAAGCTTTTTTTTTAAATTAAAATTTTTGCTCATTTTAGCCCTCCCCAGCCCCCAGGAGCACTCTATAAGCCTCCTAAAGGCTATGCACAGCCATTTTTGCAAAGGGGGTGGGGTTTCAGGAGGCCAAAAATGCTGTATTCAGTGTATAAGATCCACCCAGATTTTCACACTCTTTTTTGAGGGAAAAGGGTGCGTCTTATACTCCAAAAATATGGTAGGCAACAAGAAATTAGAACTCTCCCCAGCTCACATTGTTGCTTCACAGTATTTAAAAATCTTCCAGGTTACTTTGAAAGTTACATCATGATATACAGAATAATTCCAAGAGACATTTGGGAGAAATGTAGTCTGAATTCCTAGGAGGGAGGGGCTGTTTTCTAGAGGACCAAGAGGTAGTGAAGTGTGTGTATCCAATCTCATTTGGTCAATAAAGAATACTCTAATTCTAAATTTCAGATTGCACTGTGTATTATTAACTTTTACGTAGAGAAAATGTAACAGGAATTCATTATAGAAAAAAAGTGCAGTCAGAACAGTTTGCAAGTAAAAAGATTAATGAATTTTTGAAGATACACAACTCTAGCATGTACTAATTTTGAACGAAAAAATTCACAGGGATAGAATGCTGTGCTAGAAAGAAAATGGAGAAAATAAGTTTTGTCATTATGTAAACAGCTATTTAATGGGGTTAATAAAATATTATAGCAAGAAGTATGTAATATAAGGATAGAAAAAAAAGAATACCGAAAAAAATTGCTATCAGTGGTTTTCACTGAAAAGATTTTAAACAAAAACCTCATAAGGGTTAAACTAAAAACAGAACGATTTATTTTTACAGATTTGCCAGGAAGATTTAACAGTAAATCTGTTATAGTTAATTAATTCCTCAAGACAAATAACTTCACCACCCCACTTTTGGAGTAGCTACGAAATTTGGTCGCTGAAATGACTACAGTAATTAAAAATGCTATTACCGTATTTCAATAGGACAGAATAATTCAATTTAGAACCACTTCATTGTTTGTGATTGTTGTATTTAAATGTTGATCGACATTGAGGTTCCTAGTTACCAATGAGTAGAGAACTGATTTTCATTGTATAGGGGAGGATGCATTTTCCATATGATTCATCCTCCACACCTGAACAAAAATTTGTTTCACAAGGCTGCATTCATTGTTTCAAGACAATGTGTTATTTGTTCACATTTTTGGCTCAATGTGATTGACATCAGATACAATCTGATACGATCTCAACCAATACCATTGATTAAGCATCAAACCAGTTTATCATCTTTACTGTAACATATAGTCACAGCACTTCAGCTAAAGAGGCACTCTGAACTTACATATCTCTGTTGCATAAACATGGGAGATTTGATGAGTTTCTAAAAACACTTCCCTCTGTTTTTGAGCAGACAGTACAAGTAAGAGGGTTTTTTCATTCTTCCATTATTGTAGAGAATACAGTGAAATGAACAACCAAGAATAAAAATGGTGTTTTTAATTTGTATATAATGATTAAAATGAAAACTTAAAAGAAAGAAAAAATAGCATTGATATTAATACTGAGCTCCATTCTTTACATTAGACCTGCGTAAAATCATCATCCTATTTATCTTTTATTTTACAATATAAAGACATTTCACAAATCCACAAAGAACAAGAAAGCAAGACCTCTGTTTTGATATGCCTAAAATTAAAATATGATCTAAACATTATGGGGAAATAAAGAAAAGGCTAAGGGAAAAGAAACTGCATTTGGCAGTAATTAATGCTTACTTTATCTAACGTAAGGGGTGATGTGGTGGCTCAAGATTTAAGATGCTGGGCTTGTTGGCTGGAAAATTGGCAGCCCAGGTTTGAGATCTAACCTAACCTAACAGTTCGGAAGCATGCAAATGGGAGTACATAAATAGGTAACATTTCAGTGGGAAGGTAACAGTGCTCCCTGGCATCATGTTGGCCACATGATTGCAGAAATGTCTTTGGATAGTGCTGGTTCAATGGCCTTGAAACAGAGATGAGCACCACCTCCTATAGTTGGCAATGACTAGCAGAGTAAAATCCGCAAGGATTCCTTTTCCTTTTTAAAAATCTAATGTAAAGTAATATTTCATACCTCTATTTTGGATCTTAATGATTTCTCCTGTTAAAATTTCTTTTATCCTTTGACACATAAGACTTTCCTCAATATCAGCATTGACTTTTGTAAGTATATTTTGCTGTTCAGAATACCAAGCTTCCAATTGGGGCCAAGCGTCCAAGAAACCTATAATTCTACACAATAAAATACCAAAATCAAGATCACAAATACTGAAATGATGCTCATAATCCAAATAAGAACAAATGACTATAATCAACATCTAAAGATGCCTACCTGTTATTTTGAGAATTGGGTATACTGCAATTGGATAAGTCTAGTTTAATGAAAAGAAAGACTAGGGGTGACATGATAGCAGTGTTCCAATATCTCAGGGTCTGCCACAAAGTAGAGGGAGACAACAGGGGTGGGTTGCTGCCAGTTCGCAACATGCATAACAATTTACAGTGAACTTTGCACGCACAGTCACAAAAACCAAAATGGCGGGAGCCCAGCGGCAGTGAGGGAACCTGTTTGGGGGCATGGCAGGCCCGGGTTGCTACAGTTCTGCGACCCAGGCCTGAATTCTATTACCGGTTTGGCCGAACTGGGCAGAACCGGGAGCCACCCACCTCTGGGAGTCAAGCTATTCAAAGCACCTGAAAGCAGAATGAGAAGCAATGGATGGAAACTAATCAAGCAGAAAAATCAACCTAGAACTGAGGAGAAATTTCCTGACAATTACAGCAATTAACCAGTGCAGCAGATTGCCTGCAGAAGGTATGGGTGCTCCAACACCAGAGTTTTCTAAGAAGAGATTGGACAGTCATTTGTCTAAAATGTCATAGGGTCTCCTACTTGAGCAGCGGGTCGGACTAGAAGACTTCCAAGATCCCTTCTGACTCTTGTTATTTTGTTATTATGATACTGATGTAGCATTTTGATATTATCTATTTACATTTATCCCCTGGCTCAAAAAAAAAATGTCAGTGTTCAGCCATATTATTTCTTCTATGGGCATACAGTGAAAACCCCACATTTTGTTGTCTTCTAGGCAAAGTTTTCGGTATTTTTTAGTTCTTGTTGACTCTCCCAACCCAAAATGCAACTAACCTGTGATGCATCTGGCCCCACACTGATTTTAATTCCTCTCTTTGCTGGATTTTTGTTTCTGAAATATTGGTTTTGTGTTCTCTTTCATAGGAGTCAGCTGTTGGATTAAAAAAAGAATAATCTTATGAAGCATATTTCGAAGGCTATATCATTTAAAGATATCCTTTAAATGGTGTCTGATATTCATAATATCCATAGTGATGGGCATGCCAGTACTGGATTGTTCAGGGGGTTTAGGCAAAGACATACAGAAACACTACATAAAGGTAGTGGTCACGTTTACTAGAAAATCACATGAAAATCAACTAGGGGCTGGAGAGTATTTCTATACTGTGCAGAATTGTTTAAACTGCATAAAAATTGTAAATTAGATATGATTTTTTTTCCATTCTGTGTAGATTAACACTGTAACTTGTATCTTCCAAATGCCTTATAGGAGGCAAATTTATTTTTGGGAGCAAATATAACAATACACTGCTGTACTAAGTGTGTAGGTTCCTTCTTTGATTGACTATACAAATCATGGACCTCTCTAACAAGTCCCATCCTAGTTTTAGTTTCTTGATGAGCACTCTACAGCATGTCTGGGTACCAAGGGATACATCATTCTTTCCTAAAGTCCTCTAGTGGAAAGAACCACCAGGACCTGAGGTGGAAGAGTCACTGAGGATCAAGAGTAAACGATCAGTAGGTTTGTAGAAGGAAAAAGGAAGGAAAAAGAAAAGAGACAAATTGATCTTCTTCCCAGCTTCACCAAAATGCTTATGCATCAACAGACTACTGTGCAATACAAGTGCTTCTCTCTACCACTCGTACAGCAACCGCTCAGCACTTCGGTGATCACATGATCATGATCTGGGTGGTTGCAAAGTCCCACAGTCACATTTCCAACGGTTTGCAAAGTCCCACAGTCACATAATTGCAATTTGCAATCTTCCCTGCCAACTTCCCATGAAAAAAAATATATGAGGAAGCAGCAGGAAGTTGGACTTTGCAGTCAGCATGAGGTCCTTGCTTAGCAACCCACACAGTTCTTGCTTAAAAATGGTAGCCAGAGATTTCCAGAACTGCTATTGCTAAGCAGATTGGTTACATGATGTTGTCCTTTAAAACCATATTGCTTAGTGATGGAAATTCAGGTCCTAATTACCCATCATTAATTAAAGACTATAGGTACTGATGTGAATATCTCAAAAAGCTTTGCATTGCTGCATTTAAATACTGAACTTACCCTTCTCTGTTGCTACCCGCTTCATCACAGTGAGGTCTGTAGCATCTAACAAAATAGCAAAGTCAAGACCAGGTGGTTGCACAGGGGGCTCTTTTGGAGCTGCAGGATCTGTAACCAGTGTGGGCTTTTTCAACTTTATTATATTAATTTCTGTCTGGTCTGGATCTTGTCCGGTCAATGCTTTTTCAAGCAGTTTGGCCTGATTGAGTGTCATTGGGAATCCATCTATGATCCAACCCCTTTCTGGCTGTAGCCGACTAAATCAAAACAGGGAGGCAGGGAGAGAAGGGTTGACAGAGAGATCAAGACCAAAAATGAAATGTAGTTGGAAGAAATTATTAAACGCTAAGTAAAACAAATTCCTTTGAAATTTGCTCCTTCTTCCACTGCTACATTTACAACGTTATTCCAAAATTTCTAATTTGGAATTCTGATACATCAAAAGGATAGATTCTGAGTAAACTCACTTCAGTCAATCTTCCACGGTTGGTGCTCTTCAAATGAGTTAAAATTAAGAGCTTTCTTTCACTTTTATAAAGCTGTGACGAAAGGTTCCCCCACGCACATGTGTGTTAGTCGTACCTGGCTCAGGGGGGCAGTGCTCATCTCTGTTTCAAAGCCGAAGAGCCAGTGCTGTCCAAAGACATCTTCGTGGTCATGTGGCCGGCATGACTAAATGCCGAAGGTGCATAGAGCGCTGTTACCTTCCCACCAAAGGTGGTTCCTATTTTTCTACTTGCATTTTTTTTACGTGTTTTCGAACTACTAGGTTGGCTGAAGCTGGGACAAGTAACGGGAGCTCACTCCATTACACGACACTAGGGATTCGAACCACCGACACCCAAGGCAGTGTTGTCTTTGCTTACACTGGCATTACATTAATATTTTCTTTGTTCTCCTGGGAAGCTTTGTTATGTCTCAACCTTGTGCTCTTCACTTTAAACAATGATATAATGAGGTCACCAGTAGAAGACAAGTGGACCTCTCCTCTCCCCTCCATTACCTGGGCACTGGCTTCAAGAGACCTTACTATTTTTCAAATCTAATTATTTCAAAATGGGCTATCCATCAGTATAGGAATGGGGTGAACAGCAGCTAATTGGTATTGATGGGATGGGGTGTACTTCACAGGGAGAGAAAGGGTGGGAAGTGATTGTTCAATTGAATAAAATATCTTCATTCATAAATACCACTAAATTTGGTGGAATGCAAAAACAAGAAGGCAGATGGGTATCTCTGGGACAAATACAGGTATATCAATATTGAAATACTGTATATTATATCCTATTGTGATTCGCCCCCTGGTGGAAACATATATTGAGTTGCTTTAAAATGAAATTCTTACAGGAATTGATCGTGTGAAAACAACACTGCATTCTACAAGTAAGAAGGAAACTAATAACATAAGAAGAAAAACCCGAGGATTATTCATAATTGCAGTGTTCTAAAATTCTTGGTGCTTGCAGAGACTGCCTCAATAAATAAAGAACAGGGCCAAGTATTTAGGGAAACTAAATTTGGCTCAAAAGCTACATTTGACTTTGGGAGTCAAACCCCAGGCAAATTAAGATTAGAAACACTTCATTAAATAATCTTTTTAGACTTCATAATCATAATAATTTAACTTGTCTAGATAATTATCTTCTAACAAGCTCATAAAAATCATTTATCTTGTATAAACATTAAAAGAGAGGCAGTTTGATGAAGTAGTCATGAGGCACCAGCCTAGAAACCAGGAGACTATGAATTCTAGTCCTACCATGGTGTAAACCAGCTGGGTGATTTAAGACTAGTCTCTCTCTAATTGGACTAGAAGTCCTCCAAGGTCCCTTCCAGCCCCACGATTCTATGTTCTCCCTTCCAGCTTTAGAAGGCAGGCATAGGCAAGCTACTTCTGAAAATATTGCCAAGAAAACTGCAAGGATTCTTCCAGGAATAAGCCAAGAGTTAAGACTAATTCAAAGGCCCCGAAAATAAAAGAATATTAATGATTGTGATTCCATATTTAACAAACATATATTAGACCCTCACTTACAAACTTTGCTCAGGCTAAATAAAACAAACTAAAATGAAAATGTAGGAAAAATAACATTACAGGTAGTCCTCACTTAATGATTGGTTACTTAGCAATCATTTGAAGAATCAATGGACCTCACCAGAGCTATTTATCATCTGGTTCCAGAGCCTACACACAAACACACACACACACGTGTCAAATGATGCTTTTGGATGCTTGACAACCAGCTCACATTTATGGTTGTTTGCCGGTTTTGGGTGTTTACTTTCGTTTTCCAGCAAAAAATACCCATTGAAGAAAAATGGGTTTGCTTAAAAACTGCAGCATTCACTTAGCGACAGCCATAAAAAAGGTCATAACACTGAGCACAGTCACATGGTAACCTGCTTAGTAACCAACACGACTTATGAGAGTACTTCTGGGCTCAATTACATTGTAAGTTGAGGACTACCTGTGCACCATTTGTTATTCGCACCAAATACTGTTTTGTTTGTTTCATCTTGCAGAAATTCCTTCTGTGTCATTTCAGAGCCACAAAGCTCTGAAAGCTAGACAGTGAACATAAACTTCATGTTATGATTAATATTTCCTGTCTGTGTAAACAAGCTCTTATTCTTATTCTCTTTAATGGGAGACAATTTCTAGACTAATTTAGGGATCGTTACAATAACAAAATCTGACTCTACTATTACATTAAAAGTTAATCAGACATTTATGTCATACCTAATAGCTTCCACCATGATGCCAACTAATAATTCATCTGGAATGTTTTTTCCTTTCTTTAACCATGTCTCTGCTCCTGCACCAAGCTGAGCACGAATAGAAAGCTGTGGAATTTATGACAGACATTTAAAAAGGCATTCAAATTTAGTAAAAATATACACTTTCCCCAAATGTGTGCATTTCTTTATTAAAATTAAACCCCACCCTTCTATTCAAAACAGTGAAAATGATTTTTTCTTAAAAAATGAAATAGTACACTATGGGATGCAGAATTCTAATTAAAACCTAAAAATAAATCATTCAGAAAAGATATCACTACCTAGAATTCTTATTTTAATATGGGAAGAAAATAATTAACTTATTTTGAATACTTTAATATTGCTACAGCTTTTTAAACATTATTGCAATTTTATAGTCATCTTTTTAAAAACTGCCAAAAAATTAATTATATAAATACATTAACATAAAATATTTTAAAGAGTAAAAACAATAAAACTAATAGTTTGAAAACAGTTAAGCAGAAATTAGAAGATTTTGCCAAACTAAGGAAAGACCTAGCAGTATAAAGAAAATTCAAATTTTGGGTGAAATCCATCCACAGCAAGGATCTACTTTATTTCTGCCAGAGATTTATTCAGTGCAAAAAACATTCAATTATTGAATGTCAGCAAATTGTGCTGTAATCAGTACAGCATCTTATGTTTAAGATAAAGACTCATAGGCCTGTGCGGAAATAAGTGGTTTCTTAGATAATTCATCTTTACTACGTGGTCAATTATTAAATGATACCTTGATTTTAAAACATGTTTTTCAGTAGCTGGTTTTTCTTTCATAGCTCAAATAGGAAGTCAGAACTGAATCAAATTCTAGGACGTTGAAGAAGGGGGGGGTTGACCTTTTGCTGTGGTCACAATGTCAGTCTGATGCTGACTCAGTAAGCACTTCCTATTTGCAGTAGGAATTAAAACTCCTACAGTACTCTACAGAAAGATTATTAGGAAATTATTTTGCATGGCCACACAAATTGGAATCAAAATAAAGAGTATGAACTGCAATCACACAGTATCTGTTTAAGTATAAAGAAAATATTCTTGAGAGTAAGAACTATATAGTATCAGAAAGGTCTACTACAGGGAATGGAATGGAATAGACTAGAACAGAACAGAATAGAATAACAGAGTTGGAAGGGACTTTGTAGGTCACTTAGTCCAACCCCAACCCTCCCATGCAGGAGACCATACAGGAGACAAGAACCGTGGGCTCTACTTCTCTAAAGGTTTCTAAGAAGATACTGGACAATCACTTCTCAAGAATAGTTTTAATTGGTTTCTGGCACATTAGAGGGTTGACTAGATGACTCTTCTATTCTCTTCCCACCCCATTTCCCTGAAAATAAGACCTCCCCAGATAATAAGCCCAATCGGGCTTTTGAGTGCATGCGCTAAAATAAGCCCTCCCCTGAAAATAAGCTCTCCCTGAAAATATTGCAACACAGCAGCAGGCATGAGGTGACCACGCTTGCTGCCTCCTGCATCTCAAAAGTAATAAGACCTCCCTGAAAATAAGGCCAAGCGCTTATTTCGGGGGTCAAAAGAAAATAAGACACCTGTCTTATTTTCGGGAAAACAAGGTAATCCACCGTTCTATGATTCTACGCACTGAACAGATTCATCGGAAAAGACCCTGATGTTGGGAAAGACTGATGGCAAAAGGAGAAGGGGATAGCAGATACTGACATGGTTCGATAGTGTCATCGACGCTGTGGGAATGAATTTGGGCAAACTAAAGGAGATAGTGGAGAATGGGGGAGGGTGGCTGGCATGCTATGGTCCATGGGCACAGGAAGAGTCAGACATGACTGAACAACAACACATATGGAACAAAATGGTGCAACAATAACCCTCACAGATCCAGAAGCAGTGGTGGATTCCAGGTGGTACGCCCCATACCAGTGCCTGCTGGAAGCAGCAGTCACCATACTGAAACGGGTCCGCCCTCCCTCTCTCGTTCCTTATCTGTATTTGAAGAAAACGGGCCATTTGCACACACACACGCAGCGTATGGCACCTGCATGACACTCCGCCGAGCAGCTGGAGTGTCACAGGTGGTAGGTGCACATGCGAGCACAGTGAACATCCCTGTGGTGGATGTCCAGCCCTGTTGCAGCGTACTGCAATGGGAGCTGAAACCCACCACTGTCCAGAAGACCCTAAAACTCAAGGGCACTTAGTCTTGCCAAGGTTCAGTTGAAATCGATTGTTCCCCATGCAGACATCGGCAGACTTCAGATTCTAAGGTAGGACATCAACACCATTACGTAATTGTGAGGGGCAGAGATATATAATTGAGTTCCACCAGCATATTGATGATGCCTCACTCCATGGCAACAGGTTATCTCTTCCATGGGCTTCATGTAGATGTTAAATAGGAGTGGAGAAAATACCAAACCCTCTTCAAGGAAAGGATACAAAGGCATCCAGTCTAGCATTGGCTTTGCCTTGGCCATTATAGTCTTTATTGATTCACAATTGCTCTCCAACTTTTTCCCCTTAGATTGACTCCAAGCTCTCCCCATAAGGATTACTTACAGCTCAGTTCAGACTCTCTTCAAAAACATACATGGATCATGTTCAACCATAAATTATAGTCAAAAAGTTATTTAGGTTCAAAGAAAGAACTTGCACTAAACAATTAATGTTCTTCTGATAGCTTTGAGCAACTACTTTCTAAAAATTAGCTATATGACAGTAATGGAGAACCTTTTTGGCACTGAGTGCTGGAAAAGGAGTGCCGCATGTTTGGGACGCAACCCGGAAGAGGAGCTGCCAAGGCTACATGTACACTCTGGAAAATGCACTTCTGGTTTCTAGCAGATGCAGGTGTGCCAGCCAGCTAGACTCCAGTTACTGGAGCGCATGCACACACAACAATCAGCTGACCGGCTGCATGCTCATGCCAGAGAATGGAAGACCAGCTCTTCAAGTTTCCATTACTGCCACACATACGAAGGCCAACTGATTGTTGTGCACGCATGTGCACCAGAAACCCGGAAGAGAAATGGACGTCACGCATGCCAGCCAACGTGGCTCCGTGTGCCACTTCGGGCACGCCATATGTTCACCATCACGGCTATATGATATTGGGTGCTGCTGTTCGGGGACAGCATATAAGAAGTTTCAAATTATTTTGGATGCTGAAGGAATAAAATGTTTTTTTTAAAAAAACCTCACGAAACCAAACAATTAATGAACTATACAACTTTTCCCAGTGCCATGCTAGCACTTTCTATCCCAAAGAAGCAGGGAGAAAACCAGACTGGGGAAAACTGACCTGAAGAAAAGAAATATACATTTTTCAAAATACAGAAGGATCCCAGGGACCCAGCCATGCTGAGTTTAGCTTCTGAAGCTGAATTGAAAAACCCCAATGATAGCTTAAAAGGCTGGAATAATTGCATAGGTATAAAATATGTTTGCGTCAGCTTGGTCGACAAATCCAATCAAACCAGCATATTTGTATATAATGACCACACACATATAAAATTGTCTGTGTCTTATATCATCAAAATGTTCTTTCCAAATCTAAACTTTCTAAGTTGGAAATTATTGTTTCTATTCTATTTTCTGGAACAAGAACAATAAATTGTATATTGATTGATGTCTATTTTGTACCTTCAATTTTCAGACTTTTGTCAGAAACAACCTTAATAGCTAAATACAATAGAAGTTAAAATCCAGTTCATACTTTGGTTATTTCATTCTCATCCTCACTTATCTCCATTTGGTCAATCATCACAGCAGAGCTTGTTTTCTCAATACTTTCTAGGAACAGTAAAATACCCAAAAGCAAAATAATTAGGATCTGGATATTAACATTAATTCCTTGTGCATATTCTACTATTTTCAGTGCCAAACAAATCTTGAAAATTGATTTATCATCAGTACAATGGCATTTTTAAAGATACATAATAAAAATTAATACTAAGGTGTACAAAAATGCTTACCTATGTATATAACATGAACTAAAATAAATGGATACTGATGAATTTCTCAATTCTGTCTGTTCACTATTCCTTTTACCATCTATGTATTCAGTGCCCAAGAATTATGGTATAGCCAACATTTCTCAGTTTGAGTCCTGAATTTTATAATGGTTACAGCTTTCGAATTAGCTGCAACTCTTCTCATTCCATCACATTAATAACATAACCAAGTCTGCATTATTTAGCATCTTATCAAACTGATAGCCAGTTTGGTGTAGAGCAGAGCAATGTTCCCTCTAATTTTTTTTCAATGTGTGCAGAAAAGTATAGTGTTTGAGCAGCACATTTTCATGCCTGAGCACCTGAATTTTTTTAGCCATAATTGCCATCAGAGCAGATGTTGGGGAGGGGGGCAAGGAGGAAAAGGGTCCCCTTCCTCTCCCTCAGACCCCCAGGAAGGAAGGAAGGGAGGGAGGGAGGGAGGGAGGGAGGGAGGGAGAGGGAAAGGAAAGGAAATGGGAAAGAAGAAAAGGAAAGGAAAGGAAAAAGGAAAGGAAAAAGGAAAGGAAAAAGGAAAGGA